TTATGCACAGCCGCAAGAGAGCAGCTGATCTGCAAGTCTGAGAAGCTTCTAGGAGTGTGATTCAGAGGGGCTCAGATAGTAGCATTATTTCAAGAAGCTGCACATAATTCGAAGAGGCTGCACATATGTGGACTATGAAAAAGGGCATGATTGCAACATGAGTCATTGTGAGTTATATACAATGCTCAATTGGCTGTGCGCAAGCGCGCACACACAACTTATTAGACTACAAACGCTACTTGTATGAAAAAGGGTACAATTGCTGATGTACAACTCTCTGACAAGGCAGGGTTAAAACAATAGGATTTCTGGAACTCTTCTCATTAAGCAAGGGTGATAAAGCAAGTTTTTTCTCTCACTGCCTTACTGTTTAATTTATATGTAAATGACAAAGCACATAATTACAAAATAATGCTTATTTCCTCCCCACTGGCATTGCCACATACAGTGAATAATTCCACGGTATGGTGATGATATTGTGCTTTTCATGTTTCCCAAAACCTTACTCCCCTTCCATTCCCGTAGCATGTGATTTAAAAATCCCCTTTCATTTTTTGACATTTCCATCATGTGGGTGGGTAATTTTTATTGATTTCATTTATTATCACTGGAGTGATATACCATCTGCGGGTTATTTTGTACCAGTGGGAGATTAGGAGAGCTGGGTGGATGGGATATCTCTATGGAATCCACCCCCCTGGCGTAAAGGGTTGGATTACTTTGGCCAGTGAGTTTAAAATGCAAAACAATACATGATCGGGATATTTCTTTTCTTTTTATCAGGGTCGGCAAACATCTAAAATGTTCTTGGGGGTGGCAAAATGTTGTGCTGATGAACTTTGTGCGCTAACATACCAGCGATGTGGTAGCAGTTGTAAAACATGGAATTGCTTGCAGGTTCCACAACAGATGTAAGAAATACAGTGGTACCTCAGGTTAAGTATTTAATTCATTCTGGAAGTCTGTTCTTAACCTGAAACTGTTCTTAACCTGAAGCACCACTTTAGCTAATGGAGCCTCCTGCTGCTGCCACGCCGCCGGAGCCCAATTTCTGTTCTTATCCTGAAGCAAAGTTCTTAACCTGAAGCACTATTTCTGGGTTAGTGAAGTGTGTAACCTGAAGCGTCTGTAACCTGAAGCATATGTAACCTGAGGTACCACTGAATGGGGGGTCAAAATCCCTCATCCCAGAAAGAACATGAAGTCTAGGGGCTAAAAATACCTAACTCATGGGTAGCCAACGTGGTGCCTTTCAAAATTTGTTGGGCTAATGGCTGATGGAAATTCTTCCAACAACATCTGCTGGGCACCATGTTGGCTACCATTGACCTAGCTCAGTGGTGGCCAAACTCGGCCCTCCAGATGTTTTGGGACTACAATCCCCATCATCCCTGACCACTGGTTCTGTTAGATAGGGATGATGGGAGTTGTAGTCTCAAAACATCTGGAGGGCCGAGTTTGGCCCCCACTGACCTAGCTGCACACTCTCCTGATATGCCAAGTCTTTAAACCTGAAGAAATAATTATTTCTCCAGATTTCAAAGCCTTTACATCATAGATTCTAAAGGAGACAGGCTTGGGTTCAGTAACCATTTATCTAGACCCCAGATTCTTAACAAATTTTGTAATTCTAATTTGATTATTTTGGAACTACTATTATTTTCCACTATAATGCAGTGAGCAGCGGAGCTTTTATTATGCTCAGCAGAGAAGAGTTTGGATCAATTATCTAATCCAAATCCAGTATATACAATTTGTGTCTTAAACTCAGATTTGGAATCTAGAGACCACTTTTGCTGCTGCTGTTCATCATGCAGAAGTTTTGCTTTGAGTCTTGGCTTTATATTTTCCCACATGAATTTGAAAATAAACTGCTCCCATTTGCTGATTTGGATATCTTTGTTGGTAAATGTTGAACTAAGAAATTTAGGCCACAGTCACACCATGCACTTAAAGCACTAAGATAGCACTTTGAACGCTCATAGCTTCTCCCAGAGTTCCCTGTGAAGAGGGATTGATTGCTACACTCCTCTGAGAATTGTAGCCTTGCAATGGAAATAAGTGTCTCCTAACAAGTTGCAACCCCCTCAACAAACTATATCTCCCAGAGTTCTTCAGCAAAAGCCATGACTATTAAAAGTAGCATCATAGTTCTTTAAACGTATGGTGTGAATATGGTCTTATTTTAGATAAAAGTATTATTTTGACCTCAGAACCACCGCAAGATTAGTATTGTGGAACTGGATATAACTGTTGAGTGACAAAATATGACTTTCAAGCTCAAAATCAAATCAAATATTAAAGGAAAGAAATGCAGATTGCAAAAGAAAGAACCACCGCAAGAAACAGAATTTTTGCCATTCTTGAAGCAGAGATTCAAATTATATAATGCCGCACAGTTAGTTAATTGCATACAAATCTCATACTGTATCTGGTTATTTTTATACCCAACTATCCTACAGGCTTTTCCACCCACTTACAAACAAATCTATCTTTAATTTGCTTTCTAGAGCCTGCTGACACATTTATGCCTATGATTTCTCTCTTCCCTTTATTCAATCAGTATCCTGCTAGCAGTCCATATGAGCTTTTCAAAAATTCCTCTAATGATTGCGGAGGCTTTGTTAATGGTGAAGCTATATCATCGGCATACAGTTGAGTCCCCCTCTCCCTCTTCGTATTATTGCTTTCTCCTGTTTTAATAGCTAATTTTAATAGCTTACGGTTCTGCTGCTAGCACCAGCAAGAGAGGGTGAGCGGTTGAAGTCCTGTGTAGTTCTTTTGGTTAACACAAATGCTGGTGGTGTAATCCCATTGATGCAAATGCTCCCTCTCAGACTTAAATAAATAGCTTGCATAGATAAAATTGTGCTATAAACTCTTTAAAATGGATGAAAATGTGCTTCCAGGAACTCGCCTAGATTGGTAAATAAAAAGCATTTTATATGCATTGTATATGCAATATAACACTGTGACACCAGATGGCGATGTCGAGTCCCACTTTTCCCAACCAGATTTCCCTGTACAGTGGTACCTCAGGTTACATACGCTTCAGGTTACAGACTCCGCTAACCCAGAAAGAGTGCTTCGGGTTAAGAACTTTGCTTCAGGATGAGAACAGAAATCGTGTTCCAGCGGCGCGGCGGCAGCGGGAGGCCCCATTAACTAAAGTGGTGCTTCAGGTTAAGAACAGTTTCAGGTTAAGTACGGATCTCCGGAACGAATTAAGTACTTAACCTAGAATCATAGAATCATAGAGTTGGAAGAGACCACAAGGGCCATCGAGTCCAACCCCCTGCCAAGCAGGAACCACTTGGTACCACTGTATGAGTTTACAACACGTTTAACTGAAATGCTTCTATGACATGTCTAGATCCAGCCCAGGAGATTTTTTTTTTTTTTTTAAGAAAAGGAGAAGGATGAAAATTAGACAATGACCCATGGTGCAGGCATTTGACATCATCTAAGACAATGGAATCCAGACAAAGACCAAAATATATCAAAAATATGCCAAGCAATTATTTTTCCAATCAATGCATGGAGTCAATTTGGACTTTATTCTCATCATATCTCTTCCTCATTAAAAATTATCATACCCTTGAAAGCTATTTTCTCTGATTTCCCCCCACATTTAGATTCCAAATTATGCCCTCTTGAAGGATAATACCAGAAAATTTCAGCAGAACACTGCTCATGAGTCTACAGACTTCAGGTTCAGGCAATCACAAACATCTCAAATTGCGCACTCTCTTACCCCCCCGCCCCCCAAAAAAATATCCTAGGGTGAGATTCATTAAGAAAATGTGTTGAGGCCAGTGCTCTTTTTTCTGGGGGTACGCATACCCCTAAACGTTTTGTGAATCTTTGTACTTTTATCCATTTACTGTATTTATTTCCCCCGATTTGAACTATAAAATGGTGATTTTCTTGAGTCAAAATGAGAGTACCCCTCAACATTATTTTTTAAGGGGAAAAAAAGCACTGGTCGAGACCCAGCAGAGTCAGAGACCAATGGCATTGTCCAAACTTGCTGGTGCTCAGTTTTCTGAGGGGATGAGTTCTTTTAGCATGTTTTCTCACAGAATGTTTTCTCAGACTGAAGATCCAAACTGGGAATTCAGCTCTGTGATGAATAAACAGCAGCTCCTAGGATTCTCTGTTTGAATATATGGTTCTCTGTTTGAATACAGTGGTACCTCGGGTTAAGTACTTAATTCGTTCCAGAGGTCCGCACTTAACCTGAAACTGTTCTTAACCTGAAGCACCACTTTAGCTAATGGGGCCTCCTGCTGCTGCTGCGCTGCCGGAGCACAATTTCTGTTCTCATCCTGAAGCAAAGTTCTTAACCTGAAGCACTATTTCTGGGTTAGCGGAGTCTGTAACCTGAAGCGTATGTAACCTGAAGCGTATGTAACCTGAGGTACCACTCTATATGGTGTGGATGTGACTGCGCTCTCAAGTTCTGAACTGACTCAGGCTGGCCCTCCTGGGCAGGTGTGTTTCTGCTCCTTTCCTCGCTTTTCTGACTTCTAGCTCAACTTCTGGCTCCTGACGCCTGCCAGTAGCTCAATCCTGACAACTAGGGGACATGATAGAGCATGACTGACTGACTGTGGACTTGAGCACTCAACACGAGACAGGTAACCAATATAACAACATGTTAAGAGTGTTGTTTGAGTGGACCTTCAATTAGGCTCAGTCAGTCACTGATGTGCATTTAATATTTCTGTAGAATTCCCTACGGATGCTGGAGGATGGATTTGATTAGCTGCATCTGAATTGGATCGTGAATCTCAGTTTCAGCTGATCTGTGAATTCAAGCATCGGTTGATATGCTTTGGGCTGTAAACACTTGCTTGCAGGAGTTGAAATTTCTACATGGTGTAGCTTTGCAGAATTGATTGAGGTCTAGATTGTTTTCGGTTCTTTTTGTATAAAATTTTATTTATGGATTCATAGGTATATTGGCCACTGCCTGCAGCCAGAGTTGCTTGTTGATGGGCCGGCGGTTGATCAGTTGTGACAGCTGCTCTGGACTTAAGAAAGAAATACAATAAGCAGAAGCTAATTCTCCTTAGGCTTCCACCTCAGAATTATAATCCTATTTATGACATCACAATTGGTTGCTGTGGGAACACCACTGGTATCATGAAGAGAGAGTTACAGAGGGAATAAGCAGCTGGAACAGATGACCTTTCTTATACAAAAATAAGGCTCCTGTTTTCATACAAAAAACAGGGGTTCCAAAAAAAGAACAACTAAGTGAAGTGCAGAAGATGCACATTATGGTTTCTAAAAAATGCTGCTCATTGTCTTCCACTAGCTGTCTTTGAGCTGCTTTTAAAACAGCTAAGTCACACATAGAAGGGATGGTTTGCATGCGTGACTCATGGATCCCCAGTTTGGCATTTTTTCCACTCCTTTCATGGATGAGTATGTACTCTCCTTTCCTATTCATATTGCTGTTTTTTTCTGGGCTTCTGGGAAGGGCAGCATAATAAATAGATAATAAAATGATGGTGATAATTCTATCACTCAAACTGGCTCTCCCCTTAGATGAGTGACAGAGCTACACATTGTTTATTTATTTCATAAAATGCATGTGCCATTTGGTGTGAGTGTTTAAAAAAACCCTCCAAGCAATTTGCAAAAAGAATGAAATTATTGGTAAAAACAGCTGAAAGCAGTGATTTAAAATGTTCCAAAAATAATTAAAACAAATGAGGAGCTAAAGCCCAAATTAAAACACTTGTCCACATTCTACATAACTGGATAGTATTGCCTAAACAAACTGGGATTATTGTAGAGTGGCTAGGGCAACCCAGCCAGATGGGCAGGGTATAAATATTTTTATTATTATGTACTGTGGTCATTGGGAGAGAGTCAACATAGGTCTGCTGTGTTTCTTATAAGTTATAGTTTTGCCTGTTATATGGCCTGATATGAAAGTAAATGGACCATTAACTGTTCTTTAAATCTGAAGACAGTCTTTGATTGGAGCATCACACTTGGGACAGAAACGTTTTTGGTTCTTCTTAAATTTGTTAGCCTTGATGCCAGCAAAGCTTGTCCCAAGTTTACCCTACTGGAGTTTGGGCTCAGCAAGTCACAGGTTCAGTTGAACAGGTGTAGATGAGGCACAAGGCTCCAGGAGCTCCCAGGCGCAGTAAATGGGGAGGTAGCTGTGCCATTTTGTTATCTGACCCCAAGGAGACGTGATGCGAATCTTCAAAATGCAGGTTAAATATTACATTAAGGGAAAAAAAATTCTATAAAAGGTCTGAGCATTCTGAAAATCCTCAGAATGCTGTCTGGAATGATAAAACCGTACTTAGTATGATTTGTACAAGTGCCTTACAGGAAGAAATTACTCATTCTCAGATGATGGCACTTGAAAACCTCCCATTAAAAATGGAAGAAAAAAACATATGTAGACTTTAGCTTAAGGTCTGCTTCTAGTTTGGCTTCAGATTGTTAGTCCAGTTTCTGGACAAATTAGGAAGGCTGTCTCGTTGATGCTCAGATGTTCAAGTGGTAACCATTCTTTCTCATGATACATACATATCCATTTTGTCTTGTTTCCTTCAATCAGGCCCAGCATCAGCACCCTTAGGCAGCTACAGGAGCTCCAGCATCCTGGCTTGCCTGCCACTTTTATTTCCCATAATGCTTTGCCAGAGGCATTGTGGGAAATAAAAATGGCAGCTCCTTAGCTACCCAGCGCTGGCTCAGAGCACTGCTGTTTTCCTCCCGTTGAGGTAGAAAGGGGTTTCCAAGAAGGTGCTTGGCCAAGCCCCCCCCCCCCGACCCTCATTTCAGGAATGAGTCACTGGTGTCCTTCTCTTGCGGGTTTGGAATCTGAAAATGCAAAGCCCCTGAGGGGCCATGTGACATTTTGGTGACTTGTCCTGTTTTTCCAGGCGCAAGGTTCGCTCATAACAATATTCCTTTCCCTTCTTAGTTATTGTGAGATATGTTACTGAGTGGTCTGGAACCAAGAGCGCTTCCAGACTTTTATTTTTTGGGTGGGATTCAATCACATGCCAGCAAATTCCGGTTGCACAATGACAGTTGATTGGGAGGTCTTGCACAATAAACCCACTTGCAATAAGGAAAGTTTCAGGAAAATAACGCTTCCATTGATGTAACACCATCTACTCTCCCTACAGACAAATAAGAATGTTCAATGAAAGGTCCTCTGGAAGCGGCCCAATTGGTGCAATTTTTTTTGTTTCATTTTAGATTTTTACCACTAAAGCCTGTGCTTGCTTTCCTCCCCCTCCTTGGAGTGAGGCAGCTTACTGGGCAAAGTGAGCCACACAGGAATCAAAGTGTTAAAAAATGAATCATGGAATATCCTGCATTAGAGGAATGAGTCAGCGGTCTTTCTTTCTTTTTCTTTTTTTGAGCATTGTTTGAGAACAAAAAATGCTGAATGGAAAGATTAGCAAAAAGTCTACATTTACTGAGGCGGTCATCTGTTGTTTATAAACATATAGGGAAATATTATAAGGGAGATATCTTTTGAATACTGTGCTATGACAGGGGAACTCTCACTTGGCCAGTGCAGCGATAGAGAGGCTGTGGGAGCAGACACAGCACTTTTACTCAAGGTGAAAGAAACTGATCACACTCAGCGTAGGCACCAGAGGTCTTGATGAACTCAGGACAGCTGCACCCATAAAAGTGGTTGATGGCCCTGCTCAGGATGAGAGAGGAAATAAGTGCCAGCCAGCTGCAGCCGCCTCATCATTGGCCTTCAAAGCTTTGCTATCCAGTTAGCAGTTAACAAGAGACAGGCAAAGGTTTAGAGAGTGATGGCTTGATGCCCTGCCCTGAACTTGGACTGCTGTGGTGGGGATGTTCTTTATGACTCCAGGCTGCTGTTTTATGTTATCGTCTCAGCGGTACTTATTACGGTGCTTCCCAAGTCTTGGATATTGTTACAAATTTTGATGATGAAATGCAGGTTTGGAGGGAAAACAACAGCACAACCAGAAACCAAAAAGCGAATGTAGTTCCTTTTCAACAGGGATGAGGAACCTCGGGCCCCAGGGGCAAAATGTGTCCCTCAGGATTCGCCCCTCCTCAGCCCCACCCCATCTCTGGTGATCCCTGCTCTACACCTTCCTTAAAGGACTGGAATGGGTTCTTTTGAACTCGAATAATGGATGAGAGGACAGAGGTGCATGGGTGAGAGTGTGTGAAGAAACTTTGTTGTTGTTGTTTAGTTGTTTAGTCGTGTCCGACTCTTCATGACCCCATGGACCAGAGCACACCAGGCACTCCTGTCTTCCACTGCCTCCTGCAGTTTGGTCAAACTCATGCTGGTAGCTTTGAGGACACTATCCAACCATCTCGTCCTCTGTCGTCCCCTTCTCCTTGTGCCCTCCATCTTTCCCAACATCAGGGTCTTTTCCAGGGAGTCTTCTCTTCTCATGAGGTGGCCAAAGTATTGGAGCCTCAGCTTCAGGATCTGTCCTTCCAGTGAGCACTCAGGGCTGATTTCCTTAAGAATGGATAGGTTTGATCTTCTTGCAGTCCATGGGACTCTCAAGAGTCTCCTTCAGCAGTGAGGAAACTAGTTGCCTGTAAAAAATTGCATTTGTTGTTCTGCCCACTTTTGCCTCTGGCTCTGCCCTTTCCTGGCGTGTTTTCTCCAGAAGGTTGCCCAGAACAGCTCTCAGGCAGAAATGGTTCCCTGCCCACTGCCTTACGAAGAGACAAAGACAAAAATCCTCTAGCTGTCATAAGAATGTCTGGGGAAATAGCTCATGTCTGCCTGGTTTGGAGGTATCTTTATGTGAAATGTTTATGGCATGTTATGGGCTTTAAGTTTCTTATTTGACAGCATTTACACCTTTTGGTGATGTGTTTTGTTGTCTGGCGGATTGCTGTATGGGTTGTTTATTTTATGTTCTGTACCCTACCTTGGTGAGATGTCACATGCGTGAAATAAGAGGCCCGTGGGCTGGTTGAACGTAGGGGAATGGTGGGAGGAACCAGCTGGGGAACCACCAAAAGAAGAAGGCTCAGAGCCCAGGGAGTGGTGGTGGGATGGTGATGAGTGGTCACAGGGAGAAGAGGGAGAAGATTTGGAAGAGAAGGTGTCGGGAACTGAAGAGGTAGCAGGGCTTCGTAAGCTGGGAGAGTCTGTGGCAGACAGAAGTCCAAAAATCAGAGGCAGAAGTCAAAGTCGGTGAGTGGGAGGAGGGGGACAAAGAAGCAGAGATGATTCAGGCTGGTGAAGAGTTATGACTGTATCCCTCTCCTGCTGCAACAAGCTCCTCTCCCCCATCTCCAAGAACCAGAAGGGGGCTGAAACAGACTTGGAAAAAGCCCTGGAGAGGAGGGGACATTGACGGTTATGGGGAGGTAGGGGCTTTCAGTCTCAGCAACTGATTCATGGGGTACGACTTACTGTGGATGAGCTGTTGTGCTCATTAGGCTTGACACTTCGCTCTTTGACATACAGTGAATATATCCCATCTCGTCTATACTGGAGGGGAGGAGTAATCATGGCAGGAGTGGTCCCCCTCCTGCGCTGTAAAGGCAGTGGCAAGCAGCACCAGCACTATAGTTTGGCATTAGGTCTGGATGCCACCAGAATCTTGTGGGATGTAATCCTGACTTCTTTGCCCTCATACCTCTTTCTTAAATTGTGAGGAATATGAGGATTTCAGGTACTACTATCAACTTGATAAGAAAAACCATTTTGGCAATGACCGCTCCCCGCATAAAATGGGGGGGGCGCCCTTTGCGTGGACGCACGCAGCCCCTGGATCTGGAGCGGCTCCATCAGCATAGGTTTGGCTTCGCCTGCCCTCAGGGATACCTGGAGGTCTCCGCCTACCTCAGTCAGTTGTCCAATCCCACCTGGGGGAAGCGTTGCCAAGGAGACCAGGCCAGGTAGGGGAGGGACTACCTGCCCACACAATAGAGGGAGGATCTTACCTGGGAATCCTCACTTGGCTCCAGAGCTTTTTGGCAAAAAAATTAAATAGTCTTGGAATACACAAAGCGCATTTATTCATTCTTGGAATATACAAAGTTCCAGTGATCAGAGTTAGTTGGTGGATTTATTTTATACACCCCCATAGACATCCATTTTTTATTGCACATTCACAAGTATTTGTTTTCATGATGGTATTAGGACAGCTACATGTGATCCCGGTTTCAGTACTCTTTTGCACTTACAAAATTTTGGGGCTGTCACGCTGCTTTGTTTCCAATTGATGCCCATAGCTTCCTGCTGAAATCCTGTCACTTTTTATACCACAAATGTTTATTTTTTGTCCTGCTTTTGTTATGGCCCACTACACAGCAATAATGCAATACTATTGGGAAAGCATTGCAAACAGCTACCAGAGTGGATTGACATCTGGATTGCCGAGTATAAATCCACCACTACTGCAGTACTATTGCATCCTGGGATGCGGGTGGCGCTGTGGTCTAAACCACTGAGCCTCTTGGGATTGCCAATCAGAAGGTTGGTGGTTTGAATCCCTGCGACTGGATGAGCTCCTGCGGCTCTGTCCCAGCTCCTGCCAACCTAGCAGTTCAAAAGCACACCAATGCAAGTGGATAACTAGGTCATGCTGTGGCGGGAAGGTAAACAGCATTTCCATGAGCTCTGGTTTCCGTCATGGTGTTCTGTTGTGCCAGTAGCAGTTTAGTCATGCTGGCCACATGAACCGGAAAGCTGTCTGTGGACAAACGCCGGCTCCCTTGGCCTGAAAAGCGAGATGAGCGCCACAACCCCATAGTCGCCTTTGACTGGACTTAACCGTCCAGGGGTCCTTTACCTTTTACCTTACTATTGCATCAGTGACATGTTGCAGAATATGTCCACACATGAAAAAAACGTAGGGGCCCTATGATGTGCTATATCTTAACATAAAACATCATTGAACATTTAATTAAAAAATAAATAATTTGAAATCTTTTGGTTTTTATCTGCCTCAAACACTCAGGATGGCAACAATACAAATGTGAAAATAAACTGACACACATCCAAATTCCCAGCTGGAAGATGGAGCAGGATGTGGAATTTTCCCTTACCAAGCAGCTTGAACTGGTGGTGAGCATCGCAGGAGAGGATTGCTGCACTCCTGGGAAGACTATCACTGTGTTTCATGAAAGAGCCAACTCTGTTTCCAGCTGCGCCTTTGATTTCCCATGTCAGTGGTACGCAGGCCAATTAGTCCCTCTTTTTCACGCCCTTCCGTAAAAGCTACCCAGGCGATGAAAAATGCTATGATAAAAGGTCAGGTGTGAGCTGTTGAATCCAGCAACTAACCTACTCACAGAGGTAGCCTTAGAATGAGTCAAGGGAGGGTGTCTGCCTCAGGTGGCAGAGTCTGGGTACCACTAAGGGCAGCAAGTGGAAGAAAAACAGATCTGATCTGTGGGGCCCTATCCATCAAGAGAAAACATATACTATATATTAGCTGCGGACAGTTCAGTGAAATGAAAAGGATAAGGCTACATCAATGGCTGCTAGCCACAATAGCTATGCTCTATCTCCACTGTCAGAGGCAGAATACTGGTTCTCAGGAATCCCGGGGGGGGGGGGATGTGACTGTTGCACTCAAGTCTTGCTTTCAGGCTCTCCAGAACCATCTGGTTGGCCATGTGAGAGTAGGATGCTGGACTAGACTTGGCATTGGCCTGATCCAAGACATATTTATTTCAACATCTGCATACTTAGACTTCTCAGAGCAGTGAACCTTTTTGATGCCTGAAGTAGAAACGTCCAAATGTCACATAGGAGGCTGTCCTACATCAGATCAGATAGTCCATCGGATCAAGCACTGTCTACTTCATGGGTTGACAACATAGTCCACTATGAATTCTGATCATTGCCCAATATTTCTTACTTTGGCTTATATGGTTTTTTTTAGTTCTAACCAGTTCAAAAGGAAGCTCTGTGAATTTGGTCAATGATGTCTGATTGACCTGTCGTTCATATACTACAACAATGGGGAACCTGTGGCCTTCCAGATGTTGTTGAACTACAGCTCCCATTTGCCCTGAAGAGTTGGCCATGCTGTATGGGGATGATGCGAGTTGGAGCCCACCAACATTTGGAAGACCACAGGTTCTCCATCCCTGTTATATGTGAACCATGTGTCCCTGAAATTATTTTTCACAGTTAACCATCCATTCAAATTTATGAATCCCATGTGGACTTGGGGCTTTTTTTATGTGCCTCAGATGATTGGAATTTGAGGATTATCTCACTATGTGTCATGTATGTTAGAGTATAGCTGTAGTGGAAAACCTCGGGTCTAGGGGCCAAATGTGGCCCTCTAGCCCTCTCT